AAATAGGCGAAAAGATTAGAGAACACCTTAATATTTATTTAAAATAATGTGGGGGCTGCAATGATTTTGCTGATTAATTCATTCCAGGAGCAGGTGCTGGCCCCTACTGGACGTCAGTCCTCAAGTGCCCTGAGGGTTTCCGTGGTGTGTGGAAGGCAGGAGCCCCTGTCCTCAATGGAGGTAGGAAGGTTCCCCTTTTAACTCCATTGAAAGATGCAAAGAAAAATGAAAGGCTGGTCCATGTAGAGGGTCCTCAGAATCCCCCTCCTGCCATCCACATTGTGGAAGGAGGGAGAGCTGGGGCCCTGGGACGCTTCGTGCAGCTCCCATGGGTCTTTGGTGAGTCCTGCCTGGGCCCGTTCTCTCCCCACTGCTACGCAAAGGCCCAGTGAGCAAGAACCCTGGATGATACCTCCCTAGTGCCTCCAGTTCCTTAACACTCATGTCTGGCCACCTGCCCTCAGAGATGGGGACTCGTAGAGCCTAGGACTCCTTACTTAGGGCACTTGGGCACAGGGCCAGGTCCCTGAATAAACCAATTCCCTGGGCTTCCGCACTTCCCAAAAGGCCAAGTGCACCAGGCCCCCCTAAGCCCACCCAAGCCTCCAGGCTCTCCGTGGGTCCTCCCCTCCCCGCCGCCTCTCCCTGCATCACCAAGCGTGAGATTCACCACAGGGTGGGAATGCAGTTAATACCACTGGATAAAGGCATTGAAGGATCTTATCACCTTCAATCATCATAGGTGAGGTTTGGTGCTGGGAATCCTGAGTTCTACAAAAGGCTTAAAACATCAAGAGAAAAAGAAAGAATGACACCGTCAAAAAATATGAGTCCAGGTATTATTAACGTCCAGCCTCCAACAGGATAGCAAATTAACACAGGTTACAGGGAAATTCCTCCAAGTTCAGTCCTGGAGACGTCAGATCGCTGAGAAGGAGGTTGATTGGTAAGGAACAAATGTCAAAACTATTAGAAACGGTTAGGGAAATTGAAGGTGGCTGAAACCTAGAATGTAAAAAAAAAAAATTGGATTCCCACTTCATAACACTTGGTGAATGCCAGGTCCATGAAAGCCTTAAATGTGAAAGGTAAAAACGTTAAAGATGATATAAGAAGATGTATAAGAATATCTGTAAGTTTGGGATAAAAAGACTTTTAAAATCATATGCCAAAGAACAAACGTTAAAATAATCGATACCTCAAAATTAAGGATTTCTTTTAAGTGAAGGACAAAGTTAAGAACATTAAGAGAAGTAATGTACCAAGAGACCATTTTCCAATGTATAAAATCCACGAGGGGTTCACTACGGAGCAGATCGGTGCTTAACAGAGAGTGAAACTGACCGGCCAACCAGTCCTAGTCAGAGTAGGAGCTCCAGAAAAAGGAGGTTCCCGTCTTCCCTCTTGTTCCTCCCAAAGGCCAAAGTGCCTCAAGCGTGACATTTTTCCAGGACAAAGATGAGCTGTTTCAGGAAGGAGGGCAGGGAGCATTGCTATGCAGCCCAGCTTGGATCCAGGGAAAATTTGAAGATAGAAGATTAAAGTCACCAGTCTCGCCCCGAACGAGGCATCGAGACAGTGAGCAGGTCACTTAGGGTGGGTGGTCCTGTCTGCCCCAGTGTTCCCCTGGTGTAGAAACTCAGGTCAAAGCCCCCAACTTTAGGGACAAGTCTTACTGGAGAGGCTACTCGTGTGGAAGGGTGAGAAGGTGAAACTATTGTAGTTTATTAAACAGAATTTCAGAGTGGGGGTTGGAATTTCAGAAAATCCTTTGAAGAAGCGGAAGGAATGGCTCCAGCTGTGAGGAAGCGCATGTTCCCAGCTTGAAAAAGAGCGTCCAAGTGGCAAGTGGGCCAAGGAGGGGCCGCGGTGTCACATCGCGTGAGCTTGCGGGGCCAGAGTTTACTTCTTCCTTTGCCAGTTTGAGGATTCACCACGTTTGTCCTTTGAAGATCGTTTGGGTTTCAGTCCGTGTGACCTCTTTCACCTGCTGGTATTGTTTAGTTACAAATCCAGACAGAGTCAAAACGCTTGAAGAACAGAAAACACGATGCAAACCCAGTCATTTCCAGACTGTTTTTCCAAGGGGCAATTATGTGGCTGGAGTCAGACAAAAACAGCCTAGGAGCCAAGTACTGTTTCTCTCTGTGTCTCATCTTGGGCCTCGCAAGTCCTGGAGCTGCTTTTTCTCTCCTCCTAAATGTTTAATTCTGATGCCCTTCAAAACTTAATCGTGTAGTATCTCCCTAGGTCAGCATTTCTTCAACGGTGATCCACTAACCAGTATCACCTGGGGTTCTGGTTTAAAATAAGGACTTCCAGACCCTACTTGGTAGCTGGTATATGAGTTTCTAGTATTGCCAAGAACAAATTACACAACTTTATTGGCTTAAACAACACAAATTCATTGCCTCGCGGTTCTGGAGGGGGAAAGCCAGGGACGGAGGTGTCAGTCAGCATGGCCACACTACCCCCAGGGTCGGGAGAGAGCCCATTCCCTCCTCTTCTTACCCCTGCTTCCCTCCTCTTCTCACCCCTGTGGTTTCCAGCAGGGCCGCACTCCCCCCGGGGTCAGGAGGGAGCCCCTTCCCTCCTCTTCTCACCCCTGCAGCTGCCAGCATTCTCGCGTGGGCTTTTCTCAGCACATGGTCTTTGTCCTCACATTCCCTCCACTTCTCTGGGTGTCTAAATGCCTGCCTCTCTTTTACAAGGACACTGCTCCTTGGATCTGAGGCCCAACAGATGACCCAGGATGACCTCATCTCAAGATCCTGAACTTAATCCCATCTTTCCAAACAAACTCACATTCCCAGGTTCCAAGGATGCTGGCCTGCATGCATCTCTGGGGTCACTACTCAGCCAATTATACCTGGTGAATTGCAGATTGAAGTAAGGGAAAAGAAATCGCCAGAAATATGCATTAAATTGAGAAGACCACTACCAGGGTAATTTTACGGACCCCCACGGCTTTAAATCTCATCTGCATGCTGATTCCAAAAGTTCTCCCTCCAGGCTAGATCACACATTAGAGTTCCCAAATTATATATATTCAATCACCTACTTGGCATTTCCAACTAAAATATCTTACCAGCATTTGAAACTCAATACATAAAAAGTGTACATCTTCAGGCTGTTTTTCAGAAACCACTTTCTCTAAGAGTTCTAATTTCAATTCACCATCCTCCAGCAAGTCGCATGAGCTGGAAATCCTCATGGCATCCTCTGCCTTCCACTGTCCTGCAACCCACCATCAGATCACCAATGTTTCCTCCAGGACACCCAGCTGGAAATGAGGAAGAGGAGACGACTCTGAAGCCAAGGACCTGTTTCCCTAACCGAGGAAGACGAGACGGCTCTGAAGCCAAGGACCTGTTTCCCTACCTTTCTATCTGCCCTTTCTACGCTGTCACAGCAAGTGTGTTGCCTTCTACCTGATCTTCACGTTCAGACGTTTTTAAGGATTCAGCAAGTCATGCCTTCCCAGAGCACGTTTCTTTTCTTTTCTTTTCTTTCTTTTCTTTTCTTTTTTCCTTCCTTCCTTCCTTCCTTCCTTCCTTCCTTCCTTCCTTCCTTCCTTCCTTCCTTCCTTCCTCCCTCCCTCCCTCCCTCCCTCCCTCTCTCTCTCTCTCTTTCTTTCTTTCTTTCTTTCTTTTTGAGATGGAGTCTCACTTTGTCACCAGGCTGGAGTGCAGCAGCGCGATCTCAGTTCACTGCAACCTCTGCCTCCCGGGTTCAAGCGATTCTCCTGCCTCAGCCTCCCGAGTAGCTGGGATTACAGGCGCCTGCCACCACGCCCGGCTAATTTTTGTTTTTTTCAGTAGAGACAGGGTTTCACCGTATTGGTCAGTCTAGTCTTGAACTCCTGACCTGGTAATCTGAGTGCCTCAGCCTCCCAAAGTGCTGGGAATACAGGCGTGAGCCACTGCGCCCAGCCTCCAGAACGTATTTCTTACGACACAGCCCACTGAGCCTGTCCAGGATCTTCAACAGTCAGGAATCTCCACATCTCCACTGCCCTAACCCGAGTCCAAGTCACGAAAACCTGCCACCTACACAGCCTTAGCTTCTCCCATTGAGCCCCCTGGATTCTTCTTTTGCCCTCTCTTCCCCTCTTTAATCCGCTGGTAATTCAGGTCACAGTTATCTTTTTACCTATGAATTAGGTCTGCCACTCCTGACTACGCTGTTTCAATGTCTCCCCATTGCAATGTATAAAACACAGGCTCTTGGCTTAACTTGGTCTGCAGTACTCTATGTGGCACCCTTTCCTTTCCTGCTTTCACTCCTATCCCTTCCATATCACTATCACCTGATTACTAAAATCCATCCACACCGGCTTCTTTCAGTTACTTTGACATGCCAAAAAATTCTTTGTTATCCTAGGGAATTTGGCACAAGGTTCCTTACGCCTGGAATGTTTACTTCTTTATTCTTCAGCTCCTTAGTGAACAATTTCTTCTCATCCTTTAAGTATTAGCTTAAATATTACTTGGACAGCCGGACCTTCTACAAACACACTCTCTAATGAGTTTCTCTATTATTAGGGTAATTACATCACACAGTTTCTTTACTTCATGACATGCGAGTTCTTGTAATTATGAATATACTTGTTTACATGGTTATTATCCAAGCAGTTAATAAATTGTTTTGAAGGAATGATTGAGTAAGTGGTATATTTGCCACGATGAGCTAAGCTTATGTTCAACAAAACATAAGAGTTGGTGAATAGCCTCTGGGATTAGAAAATGTGAAAGTGTTTCTTGTAACCAACGAGCTAGTGTTTGTAAAGAACATGTAAGAAACTTCCCTCTCTATAGATGGGCACAAATGCATTTCAGTTTTAATAGATGTTTCAATATATTAATTGTGTTGTCACAAATTGATTATGAAAAGCCCTTATATGAGCATTAATGTTGATCAGGCCAAAAATTAACCTAAGGAATGAGTAGAGATGACTGGATCAGAAGAGTCTGTCATAGGAACAGAGATCACACGTTGTCTAAGAAAGAAGAGAGAGGATTTTTTTATTGAGGATACATTGAAACCGTTTTTGTTTATACTAATGGCTGAAAGGCTCCCATCAGAGCCTATTCACCTCGTTTGAGATAACAGCTATGAGTTTTCCTTTGTAGTTGTTCTTTTGTAGAACTACTACCATACTCCTAACACACACACACACACACACACAGAGAGAGAGAGAGAGACATATAACAGTTATCTGGAGGAATAGAGAACAACCAGAAGCTGGCAAGTCCTGAATGGGAGTCAACATTTGAGGAAATAAAGTGGTATATGTCTTGGATAGTAGTGTACTCATTAATTGCCCTCCCCACAAAAAGAAAAAAGAGAGAGAGAGAGAGACCTGGTTTGTAGTTTGTCAAGTACCATGGTATAAATAGTCCCACCATGTTTAATGAATTTCTGGTTTCAAGCTACAAATGATTGAACAGCCCACTTGGAAATTGCAGAATGTTTAACAATGACTCTTGCAAATCAATGCAAGCTGGTCCCAGAACATCCTGGGGTGGGTGTCCCATTTCCGTGGCCTGTATGTAGCATGAAAGGAGGACAAGTTTACATCATGCTCCAAAGCAGGCAGATTCTGGGCCAGAATTAGCACTTGGAGGAGAGGAGCTGGCACTGAGTGAATATACCAGCTTCACAGCTTCTAGCCCAAGGCCAGGCTCCAGTGGGCCACGTGAGGCAGTAAAACTCCAGTAGGTAACTTGCAGTCTTTCTCATCTGAAGAACCAAAGGGTAAAATTGGGGGCAACCATAGACACAAAAACATTGAGGATAAATCTGGGGAAAAAGAGACAGAGAGGGGCATCCACACATTTTGTGTATAAATTCTGCCCTAATACCTGATGACCCCTGAAACATGCACATGCCAGATAGACCTCCAGGAGCCCAGTGAAAGGTCTGAATTGAGATTTGACCTGCTGTCCAAAGACAAAGCCTGCAGTTTGCTTCCAGTCTAGTGAGTGTTGCTCTACCAACAACAGCAACGACACAGCTGAGCACTGTTCGGAGGAATATAACAGAACCCAGAGTCTGAACACACGACCGTCAGTGTCCAGGACAGTGGCAAAACCTTTACAACCTTCAACCGAGGAAACAGAAAAAAAGGACCCAATCCCAGAAGAAAAGTCAATCAGTGGAGATTGACCTCCATGTTGTAATTAGTATACTATTCCTTCAAAGCAAGTGTTAATAGTAAGCTCTGTGACATAAAGAAACGCAGATTCATAACAAATTGAAACATGGGATCAGTTTTTTCCAAGGGACTTATTGGAGAGAGAGCACAAGAAGCTGGGGAGAGCTTCAGGCTCCTGGGGAGGGAGAAGGATCGGGGAAGGGACCCGGAGGGCAGCACGGTTCTGCAGAAGCTTCAGCCAGGCTGGTGGAGGGTGGTTGTGCCTCGTCTTCAACACCAGAGTTCTGTCCTGCCAGGAAGGGTTCACTGTGGTGCCCCTGCCTGAATTAGTTCCTGGTTGAAAGCAGATGGAGATGGGAGAGGACTGAGGCTGCCCACAGCCTCTTACTCTTGGAGCCTCAAGGAGGGTGTGTGGGGGCGGGGCAAGGGAAGGCAGGAGCCCAGCTTCGGGGGCCACACCACTGTCTCAGCAGGAGACAGGAAGATCAGTGGAGCAGTGATGGGACACACCAAGCAATGTGGGGCTCAGGGCCAGTGTGGCTTCCTCTCTAAATGGAACGTGAACATGAGGGATGAGGCGCAAAGTCAAGTGGAAAGAAAACTCTGGGGGACATGTGAAGATGCCCGGGTCCTGGCTGCAGAGAAGAGGTTCTAACGTGAGGTGAAGATAACTCTTCCTCTGAGAGTCTGAAGGTGAGAGTGGAGGGAAGGGTGCTGTCCTGACGTTGGAAAGTTTAAAAAGAGAGGATGATGGAGGTGTCCAGTTCCTGCCTTCTTCCCATGGCAAGAATCAAGGCCAGTGAGCACACAGGAGAAGGAACGGAGTGATTTCTTGTAGTTCTGAATACACTCCCAAAGGACACAGGGAGCATGGTGTTGTGGTCAGTACCTCAGACACTTATTTAGGGAGTAAAGGGAAGGGGGAGAAAAAGGGAAAAGGGATGGTGGGATGGGGAGAGAAAAGAAAGAAGGGAGAGAAGCAAGCAGGGAGGGAAGAAGGAAGAGACAGGCCTAGAATTCCAGAGTTTCAGGGAATGGAGAGGGCACCTAATCAAAACTTCACCCTCGTTCATCTGAGACGCAGACCTGCACAAGTGACGGCCCCGTCCTGCCACACCACTGCCAGCAGCAGAACCTAACATACACGTGGACCAGCAGAAAGGTGATGGTGGTGACCTAACAACACATTTCTGTTTCTGCTGGTCAGTGCCAGTTGTGGAAAAGGCAGAAATCTAAAGGGAAGAATTATGGGCTCTGGACTCTGGCAGATATAAGGCAGGCCCTAGACAACGGCCAGCCTGTTTTCTTCTTAGTTGATGGCTTATCTGGGACTCACATACACACACACAGACATGCAAGCACACAAAAACATGCACGCTATGCACGTGTACACACAGATACACGCACACACACATGGCTGTATACATACACACACACATATGCACACACATACATGCACACACACGGATGCATACACACACACATGCACATACATGGATGCATACATGCATACACACATGCACACACAAGTATGGATGCATACATGCACACATGCACACATACACGCACACACATATGGATGCATACATGTGCACACACATGCATGCACACACACGGATGCATATATACATACACACACATGCACACACATATGGATGCATGCATACATACACACATGCACACACACATACATGCACACACACTGATGCATGCATACATACACACACACGCACATATATATGCACACAGGTATGGATGCATACATGCATACACGCATGCACATACACGCACACATATGGATGCATACATGCACACACACGCATGCACACACACGGATGCATACATACATACACACATGCACACACACATATGGATGCATACATACACACATGCACACACACATACATGAACACACACTGATGCATGCATACCTACACACACATGCACACATACATGCACACAGGTATGGATGCATACATACACACATGCACACACACGGATGCATACATATATGCACACGCACACACACACGTGCACACACATTTTCACTCGTGGAGGCAGTGAGTGTCATAACATTCTTTTTGGATGTTAAATACATTTTTGAAAACGTGCACAAAGGGGGTTTTTGCAGGGCTTATTACCGTTTTTAAAGTTCATAAGCTTCTGAGATCCGATAATGCAGCCACACAGCCCAGGAAGCAGACAAACAGGAAGGGAAATAACCGGAAGGGCAACTTTTCACTTCAGGGAACGACGACCAGGCACCGAAAGGCAGGTTTCAAGTGCCCCCTGGTGGCCAAACCTGGACATTGTGCCAGGGCAGAAAGGCAGGCAGCGCCGCTTACAGAATGGGGTGAACATGGTTTAATTTGTTGTGTTATTAAAATTCATTAGATCGAACCGTCTGGTCTTTAAATGATGAATATTATTTTCTTTAACAAATGCTAAGAATAATTTTACTAAGACCCAATAAGAATAAATAATGAGCAATAACACAACACTTCACAACATGTAGGTGAATAATTTGCCCAACACGGCAGAATTTTGATTCCAACTTACTCATCTGACCCCATATTTTGCACCGGTAAGTTATTCTGTTTAAATTGAGTTCAAAAGCCTAGTGAGTAAAAAATGACCACAGCATAGTCACAAAGATGAAAACCTAGCATACTATGAAATCAAGACAAAATGCTATTAAACTGGTTAAGGGGGATGCAAAGAAAAGAACTGAAATAAAATAGTCTTATCAGTGAAGACAAGGATTTCTCCTCAAAAATTTTAGGATCTCAGGAAAAATCATGAACATCATGAACCAAAATACTTTATATTCAAAAGCAATTGTACTTGACAAGAATAATGTAAGAAGTAAATAAAATAAAGGGAGAAAGGCAAATTTTAGGAAATTGAAGGAAAATGGAAAACGGGGGAAATATTATATGTATATGTATACGTATCCAAACACAGAAAACAGAAATATGGACACTTAAGTTTAGACAGGTCAAAGAAAACAGGAGAAAGCCGTTTTAAAAATATTACTGTAGGCCGGGTGCAGTGGCTCATGCCTGTAATCCCAACACTTCAGGAGGCCGAGGCAGGTGGATCACCTGAGGTCAGGAGTTCAACACCAGCCGGGCCAACATGGTGAAACCCCGTCTTTACTAAAAATACAAAAATTAGCTGGGCGTGGTGGTGGCGCCTGTAATCCCAGCTACTCAGGAGGCTGAGGCAGGAGAATGGCTTGAGCCGGGGAGGCGGAGGTTGCAGTGAGCTGAGATTGTGGCACTGCACTCCAGCCTGGGCAACTGAGTGGGACTCTGTCTCAAAAAAAAAATAAAAATAAAAATAATTATGGTAACAAAGCCAATTAGAGGCTCGATGCAGCCATGTCGCCTATTCCCAGGTCCACAGGCCACGGATGGAAGAATGAAAACCACACAGTGTACACTCAAGGAGACAGTGCCCGTCCACACATGGCCCAGGAAGCAGAGGTTTCAGAGCTATGAGTCAGGTCCTGTACACGGAAGGGCCTTGTCTGACTCGTCCTTCACACAGAGGAGGATGGGGCGCGGGATAAAGGGACCGGCTCAGCATCGGAGGAACGTGGCTTTGACATGTGACTGCCTCTGCTCTGAGACTTTATCAAAATGACCCCATCTCCAAGAAGGTCTCCAACACAGACAGGGCAACTGCAGATGAGCAGGTTCTTGGAAAGGAGACTAAAACGTAAGATTAATGACGAAGTAAGCCAGTGTGACTCGCTGGGGGAAGTGAGTTCAAGTCCTTAAAGGGAAATCAAGCAAGTCTAATTGCTTAGAATTCTTTTAGGGGAGAAAGAGCAGTGCCAATAACTAAATGCACAAAAGGGAAGTCGTGGATAGAACCTTCCGGACACAGAGGAGGAGAGTTCGCAGCAGAATGTGAGATTTGAATTGTAAACAGCTGTCACTCCCAGGCATTAATGCACTAAAATCATGAAAAAAGGTATAGCTATAAAACATAAAAAGATAAAAAGTAATTTAGAAACCTAAGATAACTATTATAGACATGTATAAAATTAGAACAATTTGAAGACAGGATAAACATGAACTGACTAAAGCCTAAAATATCAGAATTGGAGTTGCCTTTGAGAGTGTGAAAACATGAACATGAAGAGCTTACCTGTATTTGCTTGAAGTAAACTCACAAATGCATGAAAGGAATAAAGTCACAGGCAACTGGCTCACATTTTAACATTGAAGGAAATTATGAGTTGGGAAGTACGTTCCCCAACGGAGCTCAGTGCCTTCGAGAGAGCTGTACCTTCCTGCAGAGAAACCTTTGGCAATAAGCTCAAGTATCAAATGATAACAACAGTGAAGAGTCATGGTTTACATCACCAAGTGCCAAGAGCTGATACATTTGTTCCGACATAGTTATTATTCAATTAGTCTTCACAAAACTCCTATTGCACATGGGGAAACTGAGGCATGAAGACATTCAGGAAGTTACCTGGGCTCACATGGTGAGTGAGGAGAGACCAGGTAGGTGAGCTCAGAAAATCTGAGCGCACGTCCCGGGCTGCCCCCCCTCCTAGAAGCTGAGCTGTGTGATGTCTTCATTCCCAGATCCAGGTGGAAAAGCTGAGCCTGAGTCTCGGGCTGCCCCGCCTCCTGGACACTGAGCTGTGTGATGTCTCCTTCCCAGATCCAGGTGGAAAACCAGGGCCAGTGTCCCTGGTTATCCCCCCGGCATGTGTTCCTGGGATGAGGCCTTGACTTCCCACAGAGCTGCGTGGGGGCTCATGCCTAGAATCCCAGCACTTTGGGAGGCTGAGGAAGGATTGCTTGAGCCCAGGAGTTTAAGACTAGCCTAGGCAACATGGCAGGACCCCATCCCCATCTCTACAAAAACAAAAACAACAACAACAAAAAAACTTAAGCCAGGTGTGGTGCGGGCACATGCAGGCACATGGTTCCAGCCACTCAGGAGGCTGAGGTGGGAGGATCGCTTTAGCCCAGGAGTCTGAGGCTGCAGTGAGCCGTGATGGCATCATGGCACTCCAGCCTGGGTGACAGAGTGAGACCCTGTCTCAAAAACTTAAAAAAAAAAATCAACTGTTGGGTGGTCTTCAGTCAGGCTGTCCCCTCTCAGTGCTCTTTGATAAAAGTCAGATTATCATAGTAAAAGTCCGATTTGATATATTCTGCATGGCAGTGCACACAGATCTGGGGTTGGAGGAATGGGAGGGTTGAGACAGCGTTGTTTCTGATCTGAAAGTCTTTAAAAGATGTCCTTTTTGTTGAAAAGTGGCCTTAAAGTTTTGGTAACGATGACGTTTATGTCCCCAGAGGTCCCTCTTCTCTTCTGACACAAAGTTTGTCGGGGAGAGATCCAGGCAGAAGCAAAGGAGTGGATGCAAGTGTCGCACTGGGAGTATCAGGCACCCGGCGCAGGAGCCCTTGTCCCGGACGGCTCCAGGACGCACCTTGCACTGTCTCCAGAGAACGCTTGTAAATGTTGTCCCTTTCGCTCCCAGCTGACGGAGACAGACCTTGAGATGAGACCAGAGGTGGAGGTGCCTTTCGTGGATCGTGTGCAGCTGCAGGACGCTGGCCGGCTGTGCTTGGTGTAATGAACTCCTCCCGCCACCATCTGTGAAACTTGATTCTCATCCCCAGGCCTGAGCCACTGGTTTTTGTTTCTAGCAGGAGAGGTCATTAAATGCAGTCATTGTCCTGAGCAGCCAAACTCTTTTCCTTGCTTCCTTCAGTCAGCAAAAGTCTGTTGTACTCAGCCAGCAACTTCTGGGACAGGTCCCCAGGTCACCATCAAAGCCCCGCGGGGCTGAGGGGAGCCAGGCCCTGAGGCCGTAGTTGGGTGAGGTTGCTGCATTCACCAAACAGTCCTAAAACCACCCTGAAACAAAGGTGCCTCTCCAGGAGCCCATTTTCCCCAGAGTCAGCCATTTCACCTCCTGAGCCCTTGAAGCTCTCAGCAGGAGCATCGCAGGCTCCCCGAGGACATCAATCTCTGATTGCCCAGCCGGGCTGTCCGTGTCCTGGAGCATGATGAGGTCAAATCAGGACAGAATCCAAGGAAAACTCACTTCCTCCATTACAACCAATGCACACTCGGAGAGATGGGCCTCAGGGACACCCTCGAGGTCCAGACCAGTGAGCTGTCTTGAACTTTGCAACAAACGTGGATTCCCCAACTTTCGATGCTGAACGTTAGTGGGAGACGTGTGAAGCCACGCCCACGGGGTTCTGCTAGGTCGGGGCAGTGATGGCCACGCAGGTCCAGCCACCAGCCCCTTGAGGTCAGCGTTAAAACGGCAGCATCTAAGTCAGGACGACAGGAGCCACGGCTTGGCAGAGACCTGTCCACGGCCAGCACACCAGCAGGCGGTGTTTGCAGAGATAGTTCTGACGATGCTGTTTAAAATAGCTCTGGACTCCTGGACAAGCCAAGAACAAAAGGATGAACAATTAGTGAATAAACTTACCTAGCTCCTTACCTGTTTTTGCTGGACTCCCTCCCAATCAAGTTTCAAAGCCAGCCTCGTGCCGAGTCGTCCTCTTCCCTTCCTCTCTCTGTGGCCAGGTGTTCCCATCCTCCCCACCAGTGCAGGCGCTGGCTTCCCTCACTGAGGAGGCCTCCAGCGTCAGCATCTGAATGCCCTCGGCCTTTAGGACCCCAGCCCTGGGGCTGTTCCCATGGCAGATGCTTCATCCCATCTTTATTTCCCTTGTCACCAGGGGAAACTCGTCTTTCTCCACCAGTGTGGAGGCTCGCTGAGCACCAGAGGAGCCCATGTTCTTCCACAAACCCCACACTGCTTCAGGGCTCTTGTGCAGCTAAGCATAGAGTAAGTGCTCATTCAACATTCACAAAGCAATGCTCAGCTCGGGGCAGCCCTCAGCAACCGGACAATTGTGTGCACAGAGGCCAGTCCAGATTGCACACTTTGCAGTGTTCTCAGGATGTCAGGTGCATTTTTCATAAATAGAATCAACTTCTGGGATACTGACAAACAGAATTATTAAAAAGTGAGCATTCAAAGTATAGAAATAGCTTTTCTTTTTTTTTTTTTTTTTTGAGATGGAATCTCGCTCTGTCGCCAAGGCTAGAGTGCAGTGGCACGATCTCGGCTCACTACAACCTCCGCCTCCTGGGTTCAAGTGATTCTTCTGCCTCAGCCTCCCGAGTAGCTTGGACCACA